GGGGGTGTTCTTTGCTTTTCAAGTTGTCTTGTGTTGCAGAGACAGTTTGAGTTTGGATTTACTTTCGAGTGCACTTGCGAGAGTTAGAGATATCCGTCCGGTTATGGTACCGAAAAATTGATTTTGGCACTTTCACTTTTCATTCACTAAAATCGCGATTATGCATAAACAAGATATATTTTTTTATTTTACATTATTACTCTTATCATTAGTAGGTACGGACAAATGAAAGTAAACTAGATTGTAGATCGATTTGGTATGTGATAATGGTACATAAAGTAAAGTAGTAGTTATTGTAGTCTTAAGCAATTTAAGTTTTACACCAGAGGGAAAAGAGTAACTAAAAGACTTATGTCGATCAATTTTTTTTTTTTTTAGTTCAACGGTTAAGAGTGTAAAGACTAATTTATGCGTACTTTTATTAATCTTTTCTTTAGTCTGGTTAAAAATAGGTCATTAACACTAATACTCTGTTTGGTACGATGAAAAAATAGAAGGATAAATAAAACATCATAATTGGTAATGAAGGAAAATAGAAAGAATGGAAAAAGGGATGGATAAACTTTTTTTTCAATTCATCAAAATTAATTTTTTTAAAATTGGATTAAAAGTTAATTATTTGTGTTGATATGTATCTTATTTGTTTATATTTTATTTTATATAAATATTAAATTTATATATAAATACAATAATAAAATACGTATTTATATTTTTTTTTAAAATTAAAAATTAAAAATATAAAAAAATATTTTTTCCATGTTACCAAGCACAAAAAAAAATTATTTTTATTTTTCATCCATCCTATCAAATATATATAAAAAATATATATATATTATTTTTACTTTTTTTCTTTAAAAGATAAAAAATATATTTATCTTATTTTATCATTTTTATCAAATGAAACATAAAACCAAGGTATTCATGAGAGATAAATTTTTCATAATTAAATTTTAAAAGGTTGTTAAAATTTTAACTCAAGACGTTTGGATGTATAACTCATGTGCAAGTGTAAAGAGAAAGGTGAACAAAGTTGTTTTTAGTTACAAATGGGAGGTAAGAGGTCACCATCTTTCTTCCCCAAAAAAAGGACAAGTGAGAAAGAGGAGTTAGTGTAGATTGAACTCAAATCCGTTTTAAGTATATATTCTTTTAATTTTTCTCAATAGTATATATGGCTTACTATAAATTAGTAGGGAATTCACTTATACAAAATGATGTACACTTTAATTCAAAGCAAATGATCTATTAATGAGCCAAATTAAAAAAAAATAAACTAGAGAATCTTGTTATAAAAACCTTGTCCAGCCTAAGGGTGTCGACCGGAGGCAAAAAGTATGGAAGTGATGGTATTTCATTCTAGGAGTGGTGAAAATTTAACCATNTAGTGGCAAGTTTGTGACATTGTAGTCTGATTCATCTATTCTTCTATTTACATTATTAGGCTTTGGTTATACCACCGTTGTTTGTTACTTGATATTCTGTTGTTTTTTCCNATTTAAAAATTCTTATATTGCACCTTTAAAGATAAAATTTCTTGTATTGCACCCTCAATGTTTTAAAAGTATTATAATATGATATTTCTATTAATTTTTCATTGTTTATTTTTGTCAAAAATCATCTCATTGACGTTAACAAAATGAACCCAAAAATTAACGAAAGAATTACATTATAACACTTTTACTATATTAAATACGTAATATAAAAAAAATTAATATTTAAAAATACATAATAAAAATTCTTAAATCTTTCAAGATCCAATGCAAGTTACCCTTCAAACAAAACCAAGATAGATAGAGTATTTCCATGCTTGTAGGAAGTGGAGTACCAGAAACAATAGTAACTGCCAGGGTCCAGAAATACTCTTATATACTCCAAAACAATTGTCGAAGTTGAATAAAAATATACACCTTTTATCCCCCCATCCCCTAAAATAAATTCTCAGTGTCAAAANCCAGGGTCAGTTCTAGCTCCTTTGGCTGAAGAGTTTTCAAACATGATCATTTTGCTAAACCAAACAGGTGAGTATTTTCCATGTTTACCTCCTAATTGTGTCTACTGTAGATGAATGTTGTTATTTGAGTTGTTTTTCACATTAGGCATCAGTGTTATGAAAACGCCATGTCTCTATGGTGTGTTTAGACACCCCGTGGAATGACCGAAAGACCCTGTCAGGTTGGGGGTGTCGGTGCCGTGTGTGCACTGTTGTGTGTGATCCATTTCTTACCCTGAATATTTTGTTTGACAAGGACTCGTTCAATTGTTATCACATGTCTGAGAATACCCCTACATCACTCTATACCTTGTAGGATATTTGGGGGGGGGGGGGGGGGGGGGGGG